ATTCTCACCCCGCTTCTCCACGGTGCTGGTGTGGGTCAGTGTCTGCCCCAAATTTGGTGGCCTTTGCGCCTCCTCCTTCCAGGAGCTAAGACATCCCGACCCGCGGGTTTGAGTTTTCCCTTTAAAGGGACTGGAGGAGGACACTCAGTTTTTACAGCGGAATAAAGGAGGGTCAACAACACCAAGCAGGTGACAAAAAAAAAAAAAAAAAGAAAAAGAAAAAGAAAAGGGAAAAAAAAAAGGCAGTTTAGTTTTACTTTTCGTTTAGTCACCACAAAATAGAACGTAGTCTCTGGCTAGCGACAACCCTGTCCCGAGCCTGAGTTTTCCACCTTTCTCTTCGCTGGAGGCGTTTTGCAAAACCCTCCCATCCCTTTCGCCTCCTGCGACCGCTTCCCGTCCTCTTCCAACGCCGGGCTCAGAGCCTGGGGCGAAGCTGCGCATCCCGGGTTCTCCCGGGAGCGGCCGGGGAAAAGCCGCCGAATGACCGCGACAGAGGGGAGCGGCTCCGAGCACCCGCAGGACCCAGCGGCTTCTCCCCAAAACCCCCCGTCCCTCCTGGAGCCGGCCCGGGAGCGGAGACAGGAGCGGAGATTTTCTCCGAGGCGTGATAATAGATCATACAATGTGTGACACGGGTTTAACCAATAAAACAATTTGAATCAATTAGCTGGCGGAGGAGAGTTTTGAAGTGTAAAATTCATGTCAGTGTGGCTAGGAAGCATTGATTAAAATGTCACCAATGTGAGGCTTGTAGCCATTGCTCACACGAAAGCAGCAGGCTCCGTGCAGAAGGGGATCGGGAAAAAAGTAGGAGGGAGGGAAAAGGGGGAAGTCTCCCTGTGACAGTTGCGACACGGGGAAGAGCAAGGTTTAATAGGAAGTGACAGAAGTAACAAGGAGAGATGTACTATTACTATTACTATTACTATTACTATTACTATTACTATTACTATTACTATTATTAGCGAGAACCCGGATAAAGGAGAGAAGGTGTGAGCTTTAGTGTGTATGTCCTGGGAAAGGTGGCTGTAGAGATTTCCGTCTGGATCTGTGACGCCCGAGGAAAAAACCCCAGACAAACCAAAAAGAAATCACCAAATTTTCATAGTTAAATGTGCAGAAACATTAAGTACTGGTCATCTGCATGGAGAGAAAAAGAGAGATACAGACATTTTTACAAAAGGAAAATAAATCAGAAGGGTATTAGGAAACACTTGACGGTCCAGTTGTCTCCCCATTTTGGCTAGGAATGAGTTTTTAATTTTCCCGGGGTTTAGCCGTTTTTCTGCAGTTTTCCTTCCTGGAAAGCAGCGGCGTTGAGCGGTATTGGCCTTCTGCCTTGGGGTAGGGGTGTCGCGGCAGGGTCGCTCCGTCCTCTCCCAGCGCTGCGGAGAGTGGCAATTGGGACCCACAACATTTCGGAGGTGATTCGTGTAAAAAAATCTACATTTTCAGTTCACTGTATTCACTAGGAAAAAAAAGAAATTAAAAAAAAAAAAAAAGCAGAAACCGCCACCGTTCTGCAGTCTATTTGCTGGGAGGGTTTTTTTGTTTTCTTTTTTCCTTAGCTGGGGACGTCAACCAATTGGGGGGGAGGGGAAAAAGTTAAACAAACCCAAGCAGAACACATTTGCGCCCTATCGGTCTTTGTGGGAGCGGGAATCTGAGGCCGGGTGCTTGTGAAAGTGGTTCTGGTGAATGACTCCGGTGTATTTGGGAATGGCAGTGAGGATACAGGAGCTGTTCGTGCTCGTGTGGACACGGTTGTGGCGAGAAATCAACTTTTCCTCTCTTTCTCCTCCCCTACCCCGTAATTTCTCCCGACCCCTTAAAAAACCCCGTTTCCGAAAAAGACGTGGGGTACATAAGGAGAATATTCCGTTTCTCGGAAGCGATTTGTCTCAGACCGTGAAGGGGCGGGGGGAAGAGAGGAAGGCGAAAAAAGGCTAAATAAAACAAACCC